CTGGTGATGGCTGCCTCTGAGTACATTGTCCTTTGCCCCCAGATCCTGACCTGTGCCATCCTCTGCCACATTTACCATCATGCCCTGCACTCCCGCTGGTACCAGGCCCGCGACCTCATGCTTATGAGCCACCTACAAGACAATATTCAACATGCGGATTCTCCGGTGCAGATCCTGTACAACCGTACCATGGTGCAGCTGGGCATCTGTGCCTTCCGCCAAGGCCTGACCAAGGATGCACACAATGCCCTGTTGGATATCCAGTCCAGTGGCCGAGCCAAAGAACTTCTGGGCCAGGGTCTGCTGCTGCGCAGCCTGCAGGAGCGCAACCAGGAGCAGGAAAAGGTGGAGCGGCGCCGGCAGGTACCCTTCCACCTGCACATCAACCTGGAGCTGCTGGAGTGTGTCTATTTGGTGTCTGCCATGCTCCTGGAGATCCCCTACATGGCTGCCCATGAGAGTGATGCCCGCCGACGCATGATCAGCAAGCAGTTCCATCACCAGTTGCGGGTGGGCGAGCGACAGCCCTTGTTGGGTGAGTATGGGACTTTATGGTACATATAGTGATTATGATTAAAGATTTGAAGTTAAGGGGACTAACACTAACCATCTAACTTTATTTGTTTATTTTAATTTGACCACAGAAGGACAGAGCAAGAGAGAAAGAGAGAGAGGAGAAAAGTGAGAAATCAAGCCACCAGGTCCGGACCTTGAACTGCAACCCGCCACGTGGGAATCCAGCACCCTTAATCACCACACCACCTGCCAGCCCCTGCTTTTGAAATATTTTATAAATAATAATTCATTTATGGGACCAGCAGGTAGCACAGTAGTTAAAGTGCTGGACTCCCACATGGCCGACAAGTCCTGGACACAGCAGCTTAAAAGTCACATAGGGTGTGTGTGCTTGCATGCCCAAAATCCTGAGAGGAGAGTGGAGGAGAAGGGATTGCAGTGTTGGGGGTGATTTCTCATGTTCCCTCACCACTCTCTTTTTCTCTCTCCCTCATGAGCACACGTGCCCCATAGCCAAAATAAAAATCTCAAAAAAAAAAAAAAAAAAAATCTGCATCTATAAAGCCGGCAGGTGGTGTGGTGGTTGAGGACGCTGGACTCCCACATGGCTGAGTATGGTTTGATCCTGGACCTGGCAGCTTGTTTTCTCACTTTCCTTCTCCCTCTCGCTCTTTTCCTCTCTGATCAAATTAAAAATAAATAGATAAATAAATTTTTAAAAATTCTTAAAAAAAAAAAATCTACATCTGTAACAACCCTGATATGCAGACCAGCAGATGACGTAATGGTTATATTGCTGGACTCCAGTGTAGTCAACCACAGTTCAAGTCCTGGGCCCAGCAGCTTAAAACCCACACTGG